CCAGATCACGGGAGTCAGAACCTGCAGTTGAATGCAATGCCTTTGGGTGAGGGAAACACAGAGTCTCGCGGAGAACTAACATTCAACGAAGAAGGAGAGGGTGTAAAGGTTGATCTGCTTCTGCCACGCGTCCACCGTGTAATGGGTATGACGTCTAATCGATCCTTAAAGTTATGGGGATGGGTTAGAGGTCGAAGGGTGGTAGTACTCACAGATACATGGGCTTCTCTGATTTTTTTGAAAAAAGAAGTGGTTGAGTCGCAGTTACCAGTGGAAGCCACAATGAAATTTTTGGAAAAAGTGGTAAAGGTTGAAGAAGGAGAAATAGAAGAGAAAAAGAAAAAAAAAGGCGTACCAGTTGCTGTTGCAGTGTGCAAAAGACGCTAAGATGAAGGAGAAAGTGAAAGCAAGGGCAGAAATGGGATTCCATAAGTGGGGACAATTTTTTGACCTAACGGGCCAAGCCCAACAGACATGTGAGTCACCAGTAAAAGATATGGGTTTTTCCAATCAGTTCAAATCATTTCAACAATTATATTATACCAAAGCCCAAGTTCTACAGTGACTAAATGTAATGAAAATATGCTGAAAATCGTAACCATTGAAAATAGAGTAACATGCTTTAGGCAATGGGACCCAGGAGGAAGCTTCTCTCACATTATTTGTCCTCTTTCTTCATCTTGAGGACAAGGTGAGTTTTGGAAGGGGAATATTGTTGGGCTATGACAAGTGGGCCCAAGTCCAGCAATGCAAAAGAGTCCATAATAGTTAGTTAGAGGAGAGAGATGTTGTTATATAAAGTGATTTGGGGGTGAGGTTTTCTTTATGCATGTATTCAGAATATTTGGAGTGGGGTTTTGAGAAAGGATCTCTTGGGATCTCTTTGACCTAGGTATATTGGCTTTAGAGTGAGTGAGGTCTTTTGGTGTTTATTTGCTGCATTTTATCTTGAATTAGTGTTTGCAATTTCTTGATTTAATAAATATATAGTTATAATTTTCTGGGTTCCATCACTATTGCATAGCCCCGAAGGACCCAGTTGAATTTTTTTTTTGTACTTGAGCTGATAGTTTACCTAAGTAACTCATGGAATGTTCTATTCCCAATAAGATTATTCCAGGTTTAAGTTGCCTTGCTTTAACTTTTTTCGTTCCCCTTCAGAGGCGGTTTAGGAAGAGGATGATTGTATTGTTTGGTCGTTGAACATCTAGGTTGACTGATGCATATGATATGTCTTTTAAGTTTTAACAATATACGAGTTTACTTATAATTTTTGTTGGCACTTAATGTGAACCTACAGACAACAGTTGATATCATTGTGCTAGTGGATTATTAGCTAAGTGTACATATGCTTTGTGTGATTGTGCGGATATCGTCCCTAGTGGCATTTATATCAGCATCATAATTTTTTCCATCAAAGTATTTTATTAATATACATGCAATTTGGTCAAGCTATCATAAGAAGCTCAATAAGGGTTCTTTGTTATGGTTAACTTTGGTCTAATTTTCCCGAGAATGATGTAATACTACTAACAAGTAACCCTTATTAAAAGAGAAATTCTTGGGAAGAAATAAAAGAAAGGCTAAAACCATGTGTGCAAAAAGCCTTCTTTCTTGCCTCGGGTAACCACCAAATTATCTTTGGCTAGTTTTCATCTTCTACCGACAAAATAGTTTACTAATTCAGCATCATCAAACTTTTCGGCTGAGATTAGGTTTAATCTCATGTCAGACACATGCCTTACTTCTTTCAATACTAGTCGATATCTAACGTCAGTAGTAAGGGTAACTTCACCTACTACAACAATTTTACTGGGAAATTTCTTCAGTACTATGGGAGTACCGAACTCGATACTTCCTTTTACTAAAAAAGGAAATTATTTTTCCATTTTAAACCATACTTTTTTGTATAATTCCTTTTAAGTCCCTAGAACCCCCTTTTTAGTATGTATGTACCTACATCTGTTGCACTAAAGGTTTTCTCATCTTACTGGTGACTTGGGTTTCCAATTTACAACTCCAAAATCACCACTTTTATAGGAAGAGAAGAATCTCTTGTGTGTGGTGACGTGGAAGGAGGCACATAAATCAATAATCCAGGCACAATCATCATAGGCTATATTAAGAAAATTATCTTCACGAAGAAGGAAGATCTCGACATCAAAAATTGCAACCACAATTGTGGTGCTCTTGTCCTCTTTCTTCTTCGTTTCAATCTGGTTTGGCTTAACGTTGCCGGTCTTCTGGTCCTTCTCCAGAGTTTGGCAATCTAGTTTATTGTGGTCGAGCTTCTCACAGTAGAAGCAAGTCAGTTCATATTTAGGCCTCGACCGATCTCTGGACTTGTCACTAGCGTCACGATCTCAACTCTTACTTTTTTCTCGTCGGTCGGTCCTACCTATGCCCTCAACAACATTCGCCTCAGACATGCTGGAAACTCCTCTTTCTCTTATCTTGGACTCTTTGTTCAGGAGACTGTCAGTCATAGGCTTACATCATCCATTGTAAATTTTCTATTAGGAGCCAAATTGCTCAATGTCACTACCAAAGCATCCCAGCTTTCTGGCAGTGAACTGAGAAGCAGCAAAGCCTGGAGCTCATCATCAATTTTCATCTTAGCTTTAGAAATTTGATTCACAACCCCTTTGTAAGTATTTAAATGCTCAATCATACTCATGTCGTCATTGTATTCAAGTTTCATAAGTTGGCGAACCAAATGGGCTTTGTTCCTAAGAATCTTCTTTTGAATCATGGACTCCAGCTTCATCCACAACTCATTGGCATTGATGAACTCTGAAACATGCTCAAAGAGGCTTTTGTCAACGTACTTCCTGATCGTAGCCACAACCTTTCTGTTTAGGATCTCTTATTCTTTTTCATTCTTTCCTTCATGCATGCCGGTTGACATTGAGGATAAGCTCATACAAATTTTTACAATACAAATGATTCCTCCACATGACGATGTCATGTTTTATTTAATACGAGAGTATCCACTCCCTTCCAGCAAATTACACTTGATAAATTCTTTTCTGATTAAAAAAAAGAAGAAAAAACCCATTGTACATTTCTAGTAGCTAGTGGCATTGCATGTTAGCTTCAAAAGTCAAAACTATATGATATGAGAATATGCATAAAGTTAAAGAACAGGAAGGCATAACAGATTATGGTTAAAATTCAAACTACACCTACTTTCAATCGAAAAAATTAATAAAAACACGTTAGTTATGGTATGGGTGGGAAACGATATCAAAAAGCACTACCCCTTTCCTTATCTCTCTGTCGACGAGCCAACTCTTGTTACTTGTCCATATCTCAAATTAAGTTGCTTTACATTCACTTCTTGATAATTATCCTATAAAACTATTGCAAATTTTTCGTTGCACTGATCATTGCCAATATAATAATTATACTTTGTTCTCTTTCAAGACTTGAAATCAAAAGCTGAAGTTATAATTACTTAGAATTCAACCATTTAGCTTAATTAACTAACTTCAATATAATATGATGAACCATTGACAAAATTAAAATTAATCCAACGGAGTACCCATTAACCGTGATTTTCCTACCAAGTGGACTTACTTTTATGATTGATTAAGCCCTCCAAGTATATTAACAATCATGGAATCTGATTGCTTCCAAAATATTAAGATCAGAATCAGTTATTAATTATTTTATGAACTTAATGGCATTCACTTAAAAAAACGGGGAATATTATAAAAGAAAGCTTCTAACCACAGTACTGTATGTGCATATTTTTGAATTTTTTTACAATTTACACTGTCTTCTCCCGGGAGAACATAGTGTAGTTTGTAAACAAAAACGTTTGTAAATATAACTTGCCCCATATATATATATATATATATATATATATATATATATATATATAAGGTAGGATCCTTTGACACCGGTGTCAAAATTGAAGTTTGACACCTCATCTGAGAGCCGTTAGATCAAAAAACATCAATGGTGTCACATGCTTACAAATCAGAGTCGTTGATCTTTTTTGATCTAACGGCTCTCAGATGAGGTGTCAGACTTCAAATTTGACACCGGTGTCAAAGGATCCTACCTCTATATATATATATATATATATATATATATATATATATATATATATATATATATGAAAATTGTTTGTAAAGTGATTGCACCTAAAGATTGGTGTCATTCACTATGTACTCCCGAAAGTACATAGTTATAATAAATATTACAATTATGTACTCCTAGAAGTACACCAAATTACACCATTCTTCTCTGATGTATTTTCGGGAATACATAGTTATAATATTTATTACAACTATATATTTATGGGAGTACATATATAATTGACCGCACTAATTCTTAGGTGCAGTTACTGTATATCCACTAAATCATATATATATAGTAAGAATCATTTTACGGCGGTAAAAATTATACTCTCAAGCTTGATTGATTGTTGATCCTATTTATATTTAACAATTCTGATTTATCAAATATTTAAGCTGTTAGATGTAAGTAAATCAATATTCAAGATTTGACGTAACCTATCTCGTGTGTGTATATATATATATATATATATATATATATAACAATAAGTAGGAGTAGAACCCCAAAAAAAGTCGAACAGAAGAAAAAAATGTATAACAATCTATATATTCACATCTCCTTTTACAAGTATGGAAGATTATTGTAAACTAGACTGGTTTCCGTATAAGGAGTGATGGCCTCAATATCATTATCATGATATTACCCAAATTAACTTGCAAGACTAATTACACTATCACCAATGGATACCCAGGAATATATATATGGTGGACTTTTATTTCAGACCTACCTGCTTGTTGATTTGTGAACAAGGTTCTATCATGTGGTATAACGGGAAAAATACGAATATTACAAGGTTCTAAGGAGATCACCCAGTGTGCCAAATTAGGTTCATAGGTTATATGGTGGTTTGGACTAGGCCAATGGGAACCCCAGAAGATTCAAAAGCAAAATGAGAAGAGAGAACAATTATTGGATCAGAATGAAAAATCAAGAAACGGAAAGGAGGAAACATCTTTCATCAACTCCTCAAAGTCCCACTCTCCCATGGTTAACTCTTCTTCAAATAAATTCTCCACACCAACCCTATTTTCAGCTCTATTATTGTCATCAAAGTAAGTATTGTTAGTTTCTTTCTTGCACGTACTCTCAACTCTCAGGTTATGATTAGTGGTAGTGCTAACATTCTCTAGAGGAGGAACAAACAAATCAACTTCTACCCCAATATTTACACTCCCAAATACTCCATTTTCTATATAAGAACCTTTGTTGTCACCTCCACTTTGTGAGAAGCATGCCCCTGTAGTCCCGTTGAAGTACCCTCCAGCACTTGGCATGTTTGTTCCATGCTCCAGCATTGGAAACCTTTCAATCATGCTATTGAAAACTGTGGTTTGCATTGATGGTGATGGAGATGAGTTGAACATAGGCATAAAGCCTACATGTTGGTATTGTGTTGAAATAAACCCTCCCATATTGATGTCTTTATTAAGCTCAGACGTTGACTCGCTTGCATTTGGTGAGGTTGAGGTTGTGGTCGTGGTTGACAAGTTCTTGAGCCTTTTCTTTATAGTTGAATTCCAAAAATTTTTGATTTCATTGTCAGTTCGGCCAGGCAAGCGTGCCGCTATTTGTGACCATCTTAAAAAGTGAAACGTATTAAAATGTCAGGTCAATGCATAGCACAAATTGATTTGAAATAGGTGTCTAAATGTTTCTTTCCGTTGATAGCTATAAAGGAATGCTTTGCATGGAAGTTAATAAAAAGCGTTAATATACATATATGGAGTGTCTTCAACTCGAAGTCCTTGTTACCTAATTATATTAATATTTTCGTCGACATGTTTTTAGTTGAACTTCAAAATATGTGTGCATGACATACATGTCTTGGACTAAGGTGAGCGAGATTTTGACAACGAGAGATATCTTTAAAATAAGTATTTAGTCTTCTTACACGCTATTCTTTTCTCTCTCTTTTTCTTGTTATTTTTGCTTTATTAACCAAAAAAAAAAGTGAGGTAAAAATGTTTAGTGAAAACAGTGTACAAACAACATTATTGTTGATTAGGTGGGAAAAGTGCAAGTCTTTAGACTAGAGATCATTTTATGTATATAAGGTGTAATTGCAACTTCCATTGACACTTGAATTAAAAAATTATTTTTCTCTCCTCTCCGTACACACATCACAAAAAATGTCTTATCTTGATTGGTCTGTTGCATCGAGTTAATGGTACGACGGATGTACCATAAATATTTTGCTCTATGGATTTTGCAATTAAAAAAAGGGATTTGCATTCAACATTTAACATGACACAAAAAATTTTTCTACACACACAATATTTTGTGGGACTCACACTTTTTGAAGCAAAAAAAAAACAAAAAAAACTACAGCATGCAAAACGAATCTCTATAACATTACACAATCACTTTTCCTACAACATAACTCATATAAAACCCTTAAAATAATTGAACTTAAGATATCTTCAAAATTTGTATTCAAACCTACAAATATAACCCCACTAAAATAGTACCATAAAGAATTCATTCTTCTTTGAATTCCGGAGTTCCAACTAACATCAATCACTCTTCCAGGAAAAGGTAATGGCTAAGTTCTTTATGGACCTTACTTTGATTTTTATGAAAATATGAATGTGCTCAGTGGCTGAGTTCTATAAAGAAACAAGAGTTTGAAAAGCATTATGATATACTATATAATAGAGAAGTACTGTTTAGTTATCAGTTCTTCTTATTGTTAACGATGCATGGACCTAAATTTGGTAATTAAGATGGATATAAACTCATCATAAATGCATGGGTGATGGACTAGAAAAGATATAGATGAACCTGTTGCCAAGAAGGGAATGCAAATGGATGATGAGTTCCTCTTCTTGGGGTGAGAAAGCACCTCTTTTAAGATCAGGCCTCAAGTAATTGATCCATCGAAGTCGACAACTTTTCCCACACCTTAACAAGCCAGCATTTCTTGCCACATCACTCCAACAACCTTGTCCATTGTTTAGCATGTAGTTCATGAGCTTGTCATCCTCTTCTGGTGACCACAAACCCTTTCTAAGCTTGTTGTTGTTGTTCTTACTAGATTGCTCTGGCTTCCTCATTGTACAGATATTCCTCTGATGGACAATTTCCTCTCCCAATTAACTGGTTGATGATGTAGATAAGAAATGATTTATAGAGCGAGAAAGATGAGAAAAGAAGCTTCATGTGGAGGGAATTAATAATGATGATTGTGATGGTGGTGGGGTTTGCTTACAAAATAGGGAAGAGTGAGAGAAGAGAGAGAAGTTGGTTGATGAGTCTAGTAGAAAACGGTTTGGAGAGGGACATGGGGGATGGAGAAAGATGGGTGATCGTCTTGTCTTTGACTCCATGGCTATGTCTTTTTCTTTTCTAATTTTTCTTCACTCACAAGGTAATCATAAACACATGAATCATAGGGTGCCAGACAAAACATATAATAAATGTATATACGAGTTTGTTTTATAACCAAGTCATGTTATTTGCTTCCACTTCACATAATCTCTCTCTTCTTCCACACGTGTAATTGAAGATATATATATATATATACACTACTAGAAAAATCTTATATAGCGAGGGAATTGCTATGCAAATTTCGTCGCTAATTTCATCCTCGCTACTACTTTCCCTCGCAAATTCCCTCGCAAAATCGTTTGCGAGGGAATTTGCGAGGAAAAGTAGTAGCGAGGATGAAAATAGCGACGGAATTTTCATAACAATTCCCTCGCTATACAAGATTTTTCTAGTAGTGATATACTGGACAATAATTTGGGCATTGCCTGTCTGTATATATTTTGTTTATTTAATTTTTTGAGCATAAGATCCACATGCTTAAGCTTTGCCGACTTAAAAGAAAAAGTAAAATAGACTCAAATATGAGTGAATTGTTACATTATACACGAAGTGACAAAGAAGATATATTTTGAGTTTTCCGGCAATATCAATTTGCATAAGTACGTTCATATATATGTTAAATCCACTAGCTTGTACGGCTGAAGAATTGAACTGAAAGCAATCACAGCCATTAATTAGTAACTGTCTTAGTTGATTATTAAGCCAATTTAAATTAGGTTTAGTGTGTGTGATTCAAAAGGACACAAGTTGTGTTCTTTTAGTAACTTACACAGAGTATGATCGGTCATACTATGTGTAATTCTGAAAAGTTACTTTTTTTTTTTCACTTTACACGTCAGCGATGTGACTGAGGAGAAAAAAAAAATAGTTTTTCAGATTTACATAACCGGTCATACCATGTGTAAATCATCTAAAAGGATACAAATTGTGTGTCTTTTTTCCCATTTAAATTAAGTAACTGCACGGCTACTTTCACCTGCCAAAAAATATTAAGGTTCCTTGTTTATGATCTATTTGTATGATTGGTTTAGTAAATGAATTTATATATTTAGAAGGGTAGTTTACTCCAAGGGTCGTTTCCAAACAAAGGTGAATCTTGAGAAAAAGAAAGAAAGAAATGGTGCAACAGATCATTGACTTCTCAAGCCATTTTTTTAATGCAAGGACAAAATGCATTGACAATTTCAATTTTCTTGTGTAGGATTACAAACTGCAAAACAAACATTAATGGGAGAGACAAAATTAATCTACTTTGTTTTTGGTACATATGAAAAATATCATGCCGGTTAGATTATTTTTCACTTTACTTCGTTTGTGAATCAGCTTCTGGCAAAAGCTTGGAATGTATCAAAATGAAACACCCCAAAACCCTTTTAGCAAGGAGTGAAGTAGACCCCCTCCTGCACGAGTAAAAGGAGAATCAATTTGAATAAGGATAATGGATACCCTTTCCATGGTCATTCTGGAGATATTATTTATGATGATTGTTCTTTTTCCTTTTATCACATTGCAAGTTCTACAAACTCAGAAAGGCCAAAAGGGTTCTCAAAAAGTTCAAAGATCGTACAATGAAAAGTTAAAAAATCCATGGTTTAATAAATCGGCACCCCGTCAATGGGACCAAATGGGCAAGCGGGGACGAAGAATGCTACATTGAATCATCAAATAATGTACTTAATAGAAACATGAAGGTGGCATTGCAGGATTTGACAGGGTGTAGGTAGAATAGATAAAGTTAAAAGAAGGGAAGGAAGAAATATTACCATTTGTCCACCTCAGAGTTCCAATTTATGATATCCTTACTAACACATTATATTTCTTTGACTTCAAATAATACAATGATTAATCACAGTTATAGCTTATACCATTGGCGGAACAGTGACGAAAAGTATCATTTTTTGGCAAATTTTTTATCCAAATGCCACGCGAAAAGTATTTTTTATCATACTGTCACGCGATGTAATTCGCTATAACAGGTAACGAACTTCGTCACCTATGATTTCGTAACATGTGACCACATTGCGTACCAAATTCGCTATCATTAGTTGCGAACTTCGTCTAGTCAGCTTTTTTCTGTGAAAATATGTCACGTGTCACACAATCATTAGCGAACGTAATTTGCTACCAATCGTAGCGAATTACGTCATGTGAAGCATTGTTCGTGTGGCACTTGGAGAAAAATTTGTCAAAAAGTAATATTTTGGTCGATGTTCCACCATTGGCTCTGCATGTAAGAGAAATTAACACCCCAAATTAATTATAAAAGCATTTCAAACACGAGAGCGCATTTTTAGAGTATTGGATGCACTGAAATAAGAAACAGTGCATCGTACTATGTCTTACCAATAAAACATAAGGTAAAGTATAATTTTATTTTTATTTTTCTCTCTCCAATACAATACAAAGCTGACATGGCGCACTCTCGTTAACTCAATGTACCTGTGTACGTAGTACAATAGATTTTTTGCTCAAATATCACACATAAATTCAAATTATAAGAATTGACTCATGCTTGAAGTTGCTTCAAGATGCATCCTCGTTCAAACATAAATGAAAAAGTGTGTGTCATTTCATAAACACAAAAAGGTGTGGATTTCACTAGAAAAAAACAAAAAAAAGATATGGTTACCTCTTTATATTTATGAAATAACATAATTTATATGATTTAAAATCGCACATTTTTTTTTCGATATAAATTTTAGGCCAAACACAGACAAAGAAACTTAGAAGGGTACAATTAAGGTAGAGAGGAGGTAGACAAGCGAGCATAATTATACCTTAACATTATGACTAAACCGATTTTGAATTTGCTTCCTTATACGAACATCTATTGAATATTATTAGCTATAATTAGAACTTAATTCCAAACTCTGAAAAGCTTTTCCTATGCTTTCTCTGTACTGTTCTCTTTCCAAAGCTTAGCCCTGTCCGTGTTGATTACCTCAGAACTAAGCAAGCAAGAGTTTACTTTAGTTAGATAAGATGGGTCCTACCACACCATATAGGTTTCCTTTCCAAACCTAGTAAGAAAGTGCAACCACCAGAGTTACGGCCTATACCTGTAGGGCAGGTGGCATATAATTGTTCATCGTTCAAATAATAGAGGTACAAAATTGACATGGAAAATCAGTGGAGTTAGTGCGTATATATTGAATGAATATGAGAATCAGTATTTGTGTAATATGGATTTAATTGTATTTTCTCTTTTGGCGTTAAAAAACTAAAAGTTACGTCACGATGACAAAGCATAGTGAAAAGATTTTATTAAAAGATACAAAACCATGAAAAAGGTTGCATTATATTTTCTTTATGGGAAGGAGATAGTTAATCATTATAATATCTTCATTTGTATTTATATTAAAAAATATACGAAACAAGTTACTAAATATAGCTATGAATATCATAAGTATCTTGATATAGATACACCTATAACAACAACTTTGAAGTGTACATATAATTCTTAAACGGTAGCTCTGAAGAAAGCGATACACAGAGAGATAAGACTATCTGAAGTGAAATTGTCTAGAAAAATTTGTATCCATCTTCGGTTTAATTTAAAGTATATTATGATTTTAACTCACTATAGTTTTTTTTTTTTAAATATGCTTGTTTACTTAATTTACAAATGAGTTTATTTATTTTTCTTATAATCTTTTCCTTCTAAATTCACCTTTAACATTCATTAAAAAAAGGTTAGTATGCCCACAATTATTGATTCCATTGATAAAAAAATTATTTTCCTTAATCAGAATTCTCAAATTCGAATATTAGAAATAAAAAAATTAATCTTAAAAGAGTTATCTCTAATATGGATCCAACCAAACTAATTGGTACACTTAAAAAAAATCTCGAATTTTTTTTCCATTGAGTTTCATTCTCATTTGCATAATGCGCTGCTGCTCTATCTGTCTTTGTCAAAGTCATTTATCACCCATACTTTATTGCCTTATATAGGTTTCCTTTTGCTTCTTTTTTTTTTACCCTTTTGCCCCTTTTTTATAATAAAAATTATCATTATGCTCTCATATATAAATATTTTACTTATCTACCCCTGCATACCCGAGTATGGACCCAGATAAAGTATCTGGGTTCATACTTGGATATATGTTCAAAAAAAAAAATTATGGAAATTTTTCAACACGTAGCTCTCGAAAAGTTATTTGAAATAAAAAAAAAAAGCATCTGAGTTGGACACCTAAGTCAAAAGTCACGGCTTTTCGAAGTTTTACTTTAAATTTTTTAAAATTTTGTAATGCCAATAGGTTTTGTGATATCCACAAAGCTCATCCACAAGTTACCCGAATCAAGTCCAATATTATGAGTATATGACTATATAAACTTGTTTGATCCGAAAAATATGATGTTAAATTTTTTTCACGAGATTTTACGGTTAAGTATGGCCACCCAAGTGGTTAATTTTTTTTCCACAAGATTTTTTGAATCAAACAAGTTTCTATAACCATATATTGGACTTGACTCGAGTAACTTGAGGAGGAGTTTTGTGGGAATCACAAAATCTATTTGCATTACAAAATTTTAGCAATTTTAAGATAAAACTTCTGAATGCCATAATTGTTTACTCAGTTGTCCAAATCAGGTGCTTTTTTATTATTCCACGTAACTTTTCGAGAGCTACACGTTAGAAAATTCTTGTAAAATTTTGTTTGAACATACCCGGGTATGGACCCAGATACTCGAGTATATTGCGTGAAACAACACATACTCG